TTACGTAATCTGTCAAGTTTTTTGGTATAAACTTAGTCTTGTCGGTCAGTGTTTTTTACAGTTTTTATCGGTCAAGAACAGCTCATTCCTTTTAACGTTAAGTCAAGAAACCGTTAAGGTAAATTTTAGTCATACGCCATTTGTACGCTTTTCCGTTTTCTTTGATGTATTTGTTATTTTGTACTGATTTCTACATTTTTCGTAATTTCGTATTCTTTGTATTTTTGGTTGTACAGTACCGTAGGAGTGTGATTTACAAAATAAAGCGGTTGGACACTAATACGCGTGACTTCGGTTACAAACTGACTCAACTAAAGTAAATATTGCCAAAAACTCAGCTCTTACCCATGGTTCTCTTAAGGTGACTCTCTTCTTGGTTCCTGATTAGCAAAAGAAACATTCAAGTCCACCAAAAAGACACTCTGGACTTGGCCATACATTCTAGCTGCTTGAAGGCTCCAAATGACAAAATGTTCTAAGCACAGAATTCAAGGTTAAATCATCCACCAGACATCCTCCCCCAGCCTATCACGTGCTTGAGGGGAATGCTTTCTTTGGCCAATGGGCCTCAAACATTAAAAGAATTTGACAAACTAAAGGCAGATATGACGAGTGCACTGACTCTCCAGAGCAAGACTAACGGACAGTACCACGCTTTTGCAGCACCCTCCGCCCCCTACTAGGGATTGACATGGAGGCCCCTTCGCAACCCATGGCGAGTTAGCTCAGGGACTGAGCTTGACAATGAGACCAACCAGGACAGCAAGCCCCCTATGAGACGAAGACGAAGTCGAGGGGATTATTCAACAACATTAACTGAGCCTGATGAGGTGAATAATTGTTTTAGTATATTCACACGAAGTGATCTCAACAGAATCAGAAAGGAAACCATTAAAAAACGATCAGTTTAATTGACGGGTGAATTCTTGCGTAACACGAAGCCGTAAACAGTGGATGCACTAAAGTTAGATCTTTACAATATCTTCAAACATGGTAAATGATAGTTTTAATCTTTTTGTATCGATTTTTGTAAGCTTTAGCATCAACCATTGAAAAGAAAACGCCGAAAATTTAAATTACCACCCAATTTTGTGAAGAAAAGTAGAGCTTCACTTGTTTCTGTCAACTCACGGTGAATGAGAAAGTTTTTTTTGAAGCTTCTTGCAAATACTGTCAACAGCGGCTACGATCAAGGTGAGCGTTGTTTATCTGCAGTGTTCTTTGCCTTGTTAACTTGCTGGCACGTACAATTTTCGAAAATATTTGCCTTCCTTTTTTCTCCATAAATTAACTTCTATTTATAGGCAAAATTGGTCTCGCGAGATAATCCCGAAATCACAAAACAGTTACAAAGCGGCCTCGTTTTCTTCTGTCAGTAAGGGTATTAAAACATAGCTTCGAGCATGCAAAAAGTCAGCTACAGTAAACCACTTCACAACAAATCACGCTGTTTAAACACCATGAATTCTTACCTTCAAAGTCATCAACACTTGGATATTCCACTATTTTCAAAAAGTTCTTACTATGAAACTTTGGCAAAACACCCAGTTCACGACAGCGATTTTGTTCTTCTTTATATTCACCGCGCTAGGCGGTGAATATAACGTCATAGTCCGAGATAGTGAACCAATCAGATTGCTTGAATCACCAAGATCAATGAGTGTGTATATACTAAATATATATATATATATATCTTAATCACAAATGAAGACAGACAACAGTTTCCTTTCAATCCACCTATATCTCGATCACATTCAATGATCTTCTTCATGGTGACTAACTAGCCGTTAACGTACAGCACTTTTAAATTTGCTGAATGGCCAAGGCACCGCGCGCGCATCACAACTAAAATGACTATTATTTTAAATGTGTAACGAAAAATGTCCGAGATGATATTACCATCTCCTGCGCGCGCCTACGCGCGTCTTTCGGTTCTGGGCGTAAAAACCATCATCCTCATTAAGTCCTTGAGGGCGCAGCGTTCCCACTCTATACATCCACTGTCCCTCCTTCTCCCGCAACTCGCTCCCTTCCGTGGCTCTGTCTATTAACTGTATACTTAAATGACTTAATCCTAAGTGAGATGAGCATTGATCCTACTTATATATATATTGATATATATTGAGCACTATCCTGATTTGTAGGAAAAAGTCTGATTGCCCATTAGAAGGAAAATGCCTTCAAACTAACGTCATCTATCAAGCCACAGTTACTACTGAGACAGCAACTGAAACCTACGTTGGACTAGCCACAAACTTTAAGGAACGTTACAGGAACCACAAAACATCCTTTCGACGATTGAAAAGAAGAAATGAAACAGAACTCTCCAAATATGTTTGGAACTTACAAAACGAAAAGAAACCGTTTCAGATTAAATGGAAAATTCTTAAGAAATGTAAACCTTACAGCTATATCAGCAAAAAATGTAGTCTTTGCCTGAATGAAAAGTTCATAATCATCTGTAAAAAAGAACTGTGTAGCCTCAACAGAAGAAACGAATTAGCAAGTTCATGCCCCCACAGAAACCGATATGTACTTGGAAACTTCAGAGTGACGTAGCTTAAAACCCGCTTATATCAAATTTTTTATAACGACAGATAATCCCTCTTATATAATGTTTTTGTTACCTAGCAACCCTTTCAACAGTTTCATATAACCTGAATGTAACGCATCTACCATAGCAACCATTTAAATTTTCGCATTTAGCTGCCAGCCTTCCAATTCCAACAGTTCAGTCGTCAATGTGTAAGTTATAGCAGAAACTGACATAGCATGCAGACAGTTAATTCAGTTCGCGCGTATTTCTGTTGAAGTTGTTGTCCGTTTTATAAGATATCAAAATCGCGTGAAAGTAATTACATTTTCCATAGCTGCTAAATATCTTATTTTAATATCTCCGTGCAGTTGATGTTTATGCGATCTCAGAGAACAATTTTAGATCTGTACACAGCATGCATTTTATCACAGTATCGGTGGGATAAAGCGTTTCATTTTCCAGGAAAATTTCAGAGTTTCTCGTCAAAACAATCACTGACACAGTCAGACTCGGAGTAGCGTAGCTTACTTAAATTTAGTGCTCAGTACAGCGAACGGGGTTATATTCTGTGACATTTATCTACTGTCTGCGGCCCACAATGAGTAGACATTATCACGATCCACGATTTATTTTAAATTGATTTTATGTCAAGTTTTTCTAACCGATCCTCGATGCTAGTTTTCCAGTAAACCTCGAAATTTTGCTCATTAAGATTGTTCTTTTTTTTTCGACCACTGAAGTAATCACTTGTTCTAAAGTAATCAACACTTTCCAGCGATAGAATTCGTGGACCGACCCGTTCCGGAAAAGCTCGATATGGGATTTCTTTTCTATGGACATGGATCGACATGAACTGCTGTAAGTAGAGTGCGTGATGGCATATACGTAACGTCTGACGGGTGTCGAAGGTTAAATCATTGATATCTCGAGTACTTATAAAGTGCAACGCAACGTCACATCTTAACAACTACGAAAATCGATCAATTAAATACATACAACAAAGTGAATTTATTTAACAATAGATTTCCAGTAATTGCCACAATATTCTGAGAAACGTAACGCCTCCATACACCACAAAACAGGATTTCTCCGATACAATATTTCCTCGTCGAGATATTTACTTTTTAATACGCGTGCATAATTACACGAAAATCAAGGGCCTCGAATCGGGGAAAATTACATCCGAACAGCTAAAAACGTGATAACATTACATGCGTCATTTCAGTCATCGCCGAAAAGTGAGACTCATTTGCATACAACAAAAGTCGTCACGATTCTTCTCCCCAGTTTCCACGGTCTCCGCTATGAACGCCTGGGACCATGGCCAACCATTTGAGGAAAAACCGAAAAAAAACGCCTGCATGTTTAGAGTCTCGCTCTGCTAAAGCAAGCTCGACAAATAAATTTCGTTACGTAAATTTATACTGAGAGGTACAAACAAGTCGCAGTTACTTCGAGGTGAAAATACTCCTCCTCATAGGAAACACTCTTTCAAATTTCTCGGACCCAAATTGTGGAATGTTAGTGTTAAATGAAGACTTAAAGAAGCTGAGTCATAAAACTCATGACAATTCAAACAGCGAGATTGACTACCACCGAATTTACACTGAGTGAAACATAAAAATAACCACTCAAAACAACAGGTGAGAACAGAACTGAAGGTATAACACAGCAAATACCAAAGGTCAAGCATGGGTGGAGAAACTTTTGCTTATGCTTTTCAACAACTCGTTAGCCTAAAAGTTCATTTTTGGTTTTCTTGTAGAAATAGTGCTTGGGAGACATATCTGTCTGACACAATGTTGTGATTTTGCCATTTACAACGGTAATTTATCAAGTTTCATTAATAGCAAATAAGGATGCAAGATTGCCATTCCTATTATTACCACGAGCTTCGTCTACTTTAGAAATTCATAGCGAAATTTATTGAAACGTTTTGTAAATTAATTAATCTAATCATTCGTCTCAAATTTATACTTAATTGTACTTTAGTTTTAAATTTTGATCACAATAAATAATTTTCTTCTTTTTTCTCGCAAACAGGTGATTCTAGTTTTAAAATGTCTTCTAAAATGTCTTTTCCTGGATCGAGTATATCAGCTACCAACATTAGGTCTCAAAGTTTAGAAAACTGATCGTAGCAGCTTATCAAACGGAGAAAGACACACCAAACACAAAAATAGAAGAGGAAAGCCGAAGCAAATAGTTCTAAACCTTTTCTATTCTCACGTGATTTTAGGATCAGAGTGACACCAGCAAGAATTTTCAAAGGTACCTGGGTCTCGGGTAAACGTACAAACTTGTACTTCATCAAGAATTCCTCCAAAGCAATCTTGATCTCCACGGAGCGAATCTCATTCCAATGCAGGACCTTGGCCCTAAACCGAATGGCAAAAACTGATATGGGAGACGAGTGTCCGGTTTTGGCGGGGCTTTGGAATCTCTCGGGATCTTCCTGGTCGGGTCAGACATCAGGGTCACGATGCAGAAAATACACAGGAATGATGACTTGTTGTCCTGCGGGGATATAAATATCATTAAACTTGTTGTCGTCGACACATTCACAGTTAACCTGAGCCAAAGGTGGATTTAGTCGCAGTGATTCATTTATAACACAATCAAGATAATCAATGTCATGAGAAAGGTCGTACAGAGAGCTTTCAGGCTTTCTCTTGACTGCTTCATTGATCTCCTTTCTTAATTTGTCCTTTACATTCTGGTTCAGGGCCAGCTGGTAGGTCATGATATAGGCCAAAGTATTACTCGAAGTTTCGTGACGTGCGAAAAGAAAGATCTGATACCGGCCATTTATTTGTTCATCGGTGAGTTTGGATGATCCCTTTTCAGCTGAATCCTCGTTCGCTGTCAGCATCAAATGCATCAAATCCAGTTGTCTTCCTGTTGGCCCAGTTTTTCTCCTTTGCTGTAAGATCTCTGAGGCGAGCTTTTTGAAGTTACTGAGCTTGGAGTGCGCATGATTTGTGCCAGAATCCTCAAAAGATATATTCCAAAAGGAAGCCGTCTTAAAGTGTCCATTATCCAAGGAGTGCGAAAAACCTCCTTCACGTTTTTAAATAACAGCCTTTCTTTGTCTTTTGTAATGTCGTTTCGAAACCAAACGCGGTGGAGAGTTTAACTTCCAGCGTCGCTACTGAAGGAGTCTAACATGTCTACATATTCGCTTAAAGTACTGATTAGAATGGTCTGCGGCTTCAACAGATAAATAAGAGCCAACACCAAGATGAGTTGGGTCAACTAAGTTGACTGACAAAATTACAGTTCTTTGATACAGATTTTAGTGCGCGATGAAGGGTTTATATGAAAGCAGTTACTTAACATATGAAAATTCATCTCATGCTAAACTAAATTCCTTAAACATTTTCAGAAGACTTGCCTCCCGTGCTCCTGTGCTTAAACTGTTCTGAATCGTAAAGGAAAAAGTGAGGGGAGATATAAAATTGAGCGCATTTTACGAGAAACTATCCCTTGCTAGCGTTTTCATTAAATTTGAACACTTTTCTAAGCTTTCCAACTGAATGGAAAACAAAAAAATTTCTCACAATTTTATTGAAAATTAAATTTGAAGCATGGGTGGCATTCTGTTCGTTCGAAGCCTCATGATTTATGAACTTGCCTTTAACTGGATGTGAATGTAACAATGCAGAAAAAAGGCCATTTAGAACAAGTTCTGTTCAAATAATTACCCCACTTTCCTGTATTGACAACGCCTTCTAATGTTTGCATCAATCTCTCAACCTATCTTCGATCAGGGATACCATCCCTTTCATTTTCTTTGCGCTGAACGACGGGGTAAGCGTGGCGCGGATGCGCCTCCAAGCATCATCGCGTTCAAGAAAAACGCTTGTGGCAATTGCTCTTCAGTCTTCATTACCGCGAAGCGATTTCGGAAGTTCCAGAAATCTTTCACCAGAATCTTTTTCAGGATGTCAGGATCAGCAATAACAAGACTTGGCTTTCCAAACATATTAAAAGAAAACACTTTGCCATGATTTTTAATGTAGTTACACAACAAAAGGTGTACCCCATTAAGAAGCATATTGCCAAATATGGGCCAACCCTTGGGGTTTGGAGCCTTGATTTTCTTGCGAAGGGCACAATTACATGCTTCTTGCCACCAGATGAACAATAGCACAACAACTCCAGCTGTTTTGAAGGCAGTGGGCAAAGGTTTTACTAAACTTGAGTGAGAATCTACTTCATAGCCATCCACTGTCCTCTATCAAGATAAAGAGAAAAGTGTGATACAGTAAAAACCCGCGACTAAGAACTTACATTTTCCCAAGTTAGCCTTAACAAGTTCTTACATAAATGGTAATGTAAAAAGGAAAATGTTGGAAATTATAGTGGAGCTTCCGCCCGCGCTTTCGCGGCGAAGTCCCATTGCTAAGAGAAATTGGAAACCTATGAAAGCAAGAAAATTTGGTTATGACGTAGCGTACGCCCGCTTGCTAACCCGTGTACACACCACATGTAAGCCGATGTCAAAGGTCACATTAGATCTTGCACAAATTGGCACTAGCCTGTCAGTTATGTAAGCCGTCCTCTGTATGAAGATGAATTGACAGCTGTCAAATTCAGACATCCGCTGACCAATATCACATAACCATTTCGCGGCCTCAGATAAAATACCAGCCGTTTTGCCCCTACATGTAAGCTCTGTAATATATCACATTTACCGACATAAAAATGAAACTACGCTTTCACCGCGGAGTGCTGTCAGTAGTTTAAAGTTATATGTGCAAGCCAAATCGAGGTCAATTGACAGTTGTCGAAATGGAACATGTGCAGACCACTATCACAAAACTAACAACGTTGGCTCAGGTACACGATTCGGCATTTCGCCCCCACTACAAGCCGGAATGAAGTATCTTACACTACGCTGTCATATTCGCCGTCCATTTATTCGAATATTCGCCTTGCTTATGAAGGTCAATTGACAGCTCTCAAACAAGAGCATCCGCTGGCATTTTATTTGATCACGGGCTCAATTCTGTTTTTTTTAGAGCAGGCGACACATCTTAACGACACATCAGACGTGTTAGGCTGATTTAGACGGTACGATTTTTGCTTAAGATTATCGTGCGCGACTAGCATGCGTCATGACTTCACGACAGATCGTGTCGTGTAAATTAGACCCACGACATTCGTACGACACATTGTGGCTTTCGTAAATGAAAATTGTGCGCGGTGTAATCGGCCTTACACGCTTGGTTAATTTGTTTGAATTATCTAATAAATGACCGAAAGAGTATATTTATCAGTCATTCACTGAACGTTGACCCCATCAGGAGTATGTTTTCGTTCTACTTGCTAAATTATTTTACGAGGAAAAGGCAACGAAAAATGAATACAGTATGTTGCCCAGTTTCCGGACGGTACCAGTATCCGGATACTTACAACAAAAACTCAATTTTTGAGACACCCTTTTCAGTTATCGGTAAACAAAGTATTTTGAATAGAAGCTGAATATTTCGGCTTTAAGATGAAAGTTTTGGCGAGTTGAAAGCTTGCGAAACAGTCGCAGAAGACGCCGTTCTGTTCAGGTGAATAAACATTTCATGGCTAATATTTACGCTGTTTACTGCGCAGTAAAATTAGTGCTGCTCAGAAAAGGGTAGGTAATATAAAATATTTTCAAAGAAACGGTTTTATACTTAAATTGAAGATACTAAAAGAAGTCAGGTTCTCAGAAAAATTATTAATTCTTCTTGAAATTCAATTTGTTTGGAATAACGGAGCCCAGAATTATTCACTAAGTATTGATGTCAGGTGCCCAGTATCCGGACAGTTGCTGTACAGAATCGATGAATTAGCTGCGTACATTATCCGCAAAAGATTTATTTCATATCTATAACTATAATTAAAGCTTAGGATATATTATATAGTCGTAAAATGTAATTGTACTCAACTCCGTACGGAAATTTTCTTCACTAATTCGGAGGCGACTTGATTTCGTGTGCGCCGCTTGTTTCGCCGTGACTGCATTTTCTATATATAACCGAAAGCGTCGGAGTTGAACCTGGAATTCTCATACTTTCCCCACTGTGACTGGTAGAATGGGGTTGCAACGGTCTGAAAATGTCACAAAGGGATTGAGAGATGTGAAAGAAGGAGGAATTAGTGCTAGAAAAGCAGGCTTATTGTAGGGTCTGTAGGGACTGAGCTTGAAGAAATCAACACTGCAGGTCAGAACTAAATAGGAAAGTGAGCTTTGACCGTCGCATTGAGGTCCCTTCCCCAAGCTTTTTTTTAAATTAAAAAATGTAGAAAAAAAGTCGTTTGGAGATTGGCTAATGGAGCTAGCAAACCGCGGCTTCGACATGTCCACGGATGTCTTCCTTAAATCAGTAAAAAAGTTCCTAGACAAGGAAGTAAGAATTATGCCATTTAACAACCCGGCTCGCGTTCCCCACCATACCCCAGTCATTTGTTATGTTTTATTTCACGATGCTAGGTTATATTTTTTGAATCGATTGCCAGACTACTTTGCAAGTGCAAGAGAACCTTATAAGTTGCTTGCCTGTCGAAATTTGTGTACAATAAATACGTTGTTATTGTTGTGTCCGGATACTGGGCCAGCTGTCCGGATACTGGGCAACATAGGAGCTCTGCAAATATTAATTTCGCCATGAAAACAAAGGCAAAAAAGTTAAACTGTCTTTCGTCATATTAAGGACTAAATAGATTTTCTCTGGGCAAAATTTCAGAGCTCTTGCGACCAACAAAGGAAAGTTATTGCAATGTTAAACTGAAGTGTCCGGATACTGGGCAACATATTAATACTGTAGAAGATGTCTGAAAACAGAAGCAAACTTTCACTTGGTTTCACGGAGTAACCCTGACCATTGAACAATCGAAACACAACACACCACAAGACGAAAACAGAGTGCAGCTAATTAATTGAACGTCGGCCTAGAAGTTCATCCCCATTCATTACATCAGTCATTAATGAGAAGTTCACCATTACCTCAGTCATTAATGGCAGTTTGATACTTGTGGATATTTAAAGCTGCATAAAAGCAAACTATTTTTTGGTTTGTTATTATTGTACATGGACGACTTCCTGCGTTTATTACTATGCTGAGTTTTGCAATTAAATTTTCGTTTTGATTTGTACCCTCTACGGTATGATGGGTTCTAAAGTCTAAAGCTCGATGGCTACAGAGTATCTATTCATTTCAAATGTGTTTCAACGGGAAAACTGAAACCCTTTCTCAAACTGGATGGTAAATGAACGGCTCCAAATGTTAAGTAGGGATTTGAATATTTCTTTGTCAGGGCTTTAAGATAATAAGTTAAAAGTTTATTGCTTTTATTAGAAGTATATAAACGGATGCTTCGCCTTTAGCCCTGGTTAAATCCATATATTACACCTGTAGTCGCACCACGAAAAAGAAAATGGAATCAAGGTCAAACACAACTCCCTTGTTCCCTGCGTGCACATCAACCCCTACGCTCCCATCTCAGCATCTTCCTTTTATTCGTCAGAACAAATTAGCCTTAGTAATCGTTCTCGATTCACAAACCGGCATGTTTAAAATCGTGTCTACATTAGCCACCATCAACTAGCAGTTCTTGCTGTTTCCTACAGTAAATTGCTTTATGACCCTGTAGGATATCAGATCATCACACGTTAAAGAAAATCCAGTTTTGTTGGTCCCCTTGCTGTTAAAAATAGTTTGTGGACATAAGTTTAGTTAATTATCGGGCATGTTACAACTTGAATCAACCTTTACAGAAAATATATAATTATATTCCCGATGCCGAAGGATCAACAGATATCCATAATTGATTAAAAAATCAGCATATCCTTCATGTTTAATCCTCGATTAGGCATACTTAATGTTATTTCCATTACATACGATTACAACCAAATCTTTTTTTCAAAACTATACTAGAGTCAGTCTATTTAAGCAATAGAAAACGTTTTCCTAGCCTGAATTTCATCCGATTACTTCGAGTCGTTATTACTCCCTCAGTAACGTCTCAATCGACCGGCCGTTAATGTCGTCCAGTGACGTCACTACTCCTTGACCTTTGCTTTAATTCATGCAAAAAGTACGACACGATTTTCAAGTGGCAAACCGAGAAATATCGTTTGGAAATGTCTACATGATACAGATCGATCGTAATTCATGTTTAACGTTCAAACTATCAACTGCATGCAGTACAACTCCGAACCGGTTGCACTGAATTCTATAGTCAAACTCGGTCGCAATCACGCAATGAAATAAACACACACACGAAACACTTGGTTCAAAAGCACAATGATTTGCTTTAATTGAAAAGAAGCTATTTGGTCTTTACGAATAAAAAAAAAAACAGGGAAACAAGAAAGAAAAGCTAACAGAATCATTACACTTGACGGTGAAAATAGCAAGAAGGTTGAATTATAACATTGATCTCAGAAAACTTCGCGTAAACAAAATCACCGGCCGCCGAAACCACAAAGCGGCTCTAAATGAAAAACCTACTGACTCTCCGCAATCATTCTTCATTCGCAGTTCAATGTAGCATTTCAGTTTCGAAGACATGGGCAGTTTTGCTGTTCAAGATAAAGATTAAGCTTATCGAAATGTTTGAACTACACGAAAGAGTGCCAGGGATGCGATCCTCTGAATGTCAAGCGACAATCCCGCTAAAATTTTTCATAATTATACATAATTATGCGAATGTTTAGACAATCAACCAATCAAAATCACTACCCGGTTTTCGGATAGTGAGTGACGTCACTGAACGGCATTAACGGCCGGTCGATTCAGACGTTACTGAGGGAGTAATAACGACTCAAAGTAATCGGATGAAATTCAGGCTAACGTTTTCCGTGTTTGCATAGACTGATATAAACACGAGACGGGTTGGCAGAATTCGAGACAGTTGTGCAATCCCGAGACGAAGTCGAAGGTTTGCATAACAACCAATCAGAGTGCGCGTACTACCTTTAGTTACTTTATAAAACTGGCTTCTTCCTCCCTTGGTGTTTTGCCGTGAGAAGAAACGAGCTGAGTCAGATATTTTTTCTACCTCGACAGCAGGCCCAGTGATAACCGGGAATCCAACCAGAGGAAAACTTTGAAAACGTATGTGAAAACGGAAAATGTTGAAATCATATGGAAAGACTATTAAGATGCTGTTTAATTCTAATTTCATGTAGATCACAAGTGAATACTTTATATTAAAATTAGGAATAAGCTACGTTTGCGGGAACACAACATGCCCTCTGAGTAAGCGATTGCCGCGAGAAATCCAAGGGATCTAAATTCATCTCCCTCATTGAAATTAATCGTGTTACAACTGGAACGGAGGTGAAAAACTGTCGTCACAGAAGCGACACCGAATAAGCAATCGGGTTGACAAATCGTTTACATAACAAGAAGGAAGTTGAGGACTCCGGGCTAAGTGGCCAGGATTTGTTTTTAATGCCTCCGGCCGAGCTTTGCCACCTTTGCTAAATGAATATACCAAAAATGCTAAAAACGGTTTTAGTTTCCTATTCATCTTTCAATGAAAATGTCATGTTTCTTGAAACCGTCATCTTCGTTAAAGCGGAGGGTTTTATAGGAATTAAAACGATCACTTTATCTGATAAAATACCCGTGCTTTAATTAAATTTTCCTTTCACAGGCAGTGATATTCCAGTCCTCCTCGTAAGATCCAAAGACAAACTACGGCGGTAATGCTCACCACTCCGTAGATTTCTTCGTTTTTGTTTCCTATCACGGCGCCGTCCTGGCTTAGTACCTGCTAAAGGGCATATTGGACTACTAAACCTGATTCCTGATAGGTTGGTTCTCACTTTGCGAACCTCACTTAACACTAAGAAAACAAATAAGCACACTGACACTGGTGGTCTTTACACTACAGCCTTAATAAGCTAAGAAATATTTCAAGACAAGTAAATTTTACATTCTTCAAGTAAAAGGAAGCTCAGGTGCACCCAACGTCAATTTCGGAAAATATCTGTTCGGAAGACGATTTGAGATCTAGAATTTTCGGAACATTTGTTGTAAAATTTCTTGCTTGCCTGCCTCTCCCAGGATTTTCGAACATTTAAAAAATAGTATAATTGCCCATTTTTAACGGATTTTTACCCTAAAAAGGTCACTTAGAATTTTCGGGAGCCTTTTTTCTGGCTGAAATTTTCAAAAAGGTAAGTTTTGATCCCTATAATTTTCGGATCACTAGACTTTTAGCTAGGAAATCCGAACAGATGAAAAATTTTTAGGGGGTAAAGATATGCCTATATCTACCGTTTAAATACTAAAATACGTTGAACATGCTATGTTTAAGTGGTTTTGAATGAAATTCTCCTTAGGTACTCCTGAAATCTTTACACAAAACCTATTTTTTTACCTCAGGTTTACTTAAGCCTGTTTTTCCATTCAGCATAATTAAGATTGATTGACATGCTTAGCCTTTCTCAAAACTCAGGAAACTGCAGGTTCCCTAAGTAGGTCATTTCAAGTCACTTGGAACTTTCTTGAATCGTTTCAACTTTCCGACTTTAATGAGATGCAAAGTAAAGTTACTTGAGATTTTACTTAGGCTTAATCACACACGCGTTAATGGTTAAGTAAAACTTGGCAGCTCTTAAGTCTTACTTAACAGCCTAGTGTAAAGACAACCACTGTTGAATTTCTTGCAACGTTCTTGCTACACAGCTGTCTCACGGTTGTAATCGATACGGTTGTTTATCAGTGAAACAAAATATATTAATATTATGCCATTATCTCGATTGTAACATTTCGTTCAACTGAACGCAATTATTATAAGGTATGATCCCTTCAAGGTTTTTAATGACGACAACTGGGGAACAAAAACAACTTATTATGGACGTATATATTAATGAAGATTTTCGTTTTCTTTTCTTCAGTTCTAGCTTGATCTAATGCACATAAAAGTAAGCTCACTTAACGAGGAAAAAATGTCCGGCCGGTTTCATTTCCTATTGTTATGGGTATTGATGCACTCTTCGCCAGCTTCTTCTATCGACCCGAAGCGATTCTACAAACCGGGCAACGTTACTCTAGGTGTCTTGCTTCCTCTTCACGTCAGAACCGCCCAGGATAAATGCGGTGAGTTTTACGCTTTCGGCCTTGGATACACCGAGGCTATAACTTTTGCAATCGAGCGTATTAACAAGGATCCTGAGCTTCTACCAAATGTGACACTCGGCTTCGACATTCGAGACTACTGCGACACACCTGTTCTCGCCATGAAAATAGCCAATGACTTCGTCAAAAGTAATTATCTGAACGAATTGCTTGAAGAACAAGGTGATAAGAAGTTTAGGTCAAAGCTTACAAAAAATATGGATTATCTAACGGCACCGATTTCTGCGGTTATTGGCACTGAAGATTCAAGTAGCACCACTCTCGTCTCGAGTCTACTGCAGGTGGCTGCCATTCCAACTATAAGTCCTTTCGCTACCAGCGAGGAGTTGAGCTCACCGTATTTTAACTCCTTCTTTCGTACCATTCCACCGGATGGCCAACAAGCTAAAGCCATGGTTGACATAATAGAGTATTATCAATGGAAGTATATTGCAGCCGTAGCCATTGACCATTCCTACGGACGATACGGCTTACGCGCGTTGGAACGAGAAGCTTATGACCGAAAGACCTTCTGCATCGCGTTTTCGGAGTACATCACGCATTCGGGATACAGAGGAAAACTAAGATCAATCGTGAGGAAACTCAAAGATGCTGAAAACATCAAAGTGGTCATCTTATGGAGCAACTATGAACCTGCAAAAAGATTTCTGGAAGAAGCGACTGCGCAGGGGCTTGAAGGACGAACATTTCTTATTAGTGAAGCAATAGCCTTAATCAATCCAGACGTTTTGGAAAAAAATGCTATCATACTAAAAGGAGCAATAGGAATAAGGCCTTATCTATTCACAGACAATCTGTTTGAGGGTTATCTTAGGGGAATCACACTAAATAAGACCCGAGAAAGCGCCAATCCGTGGTGGAATGATTTTTGGACAAGCCATCTAAACTGCTCCTCAATGTCTGAAAGTGCTTGCCTTACCCCGGCCAAAATAGACGATCGAGCCTTCGCCAAACTGCACAATGCGTTCATTCCTTATCTGACAGACGCCGTCTATGCCCTTGCACACGCTTTGGACTCTTTACTGAAGTGTAAAAAGCCCGGAGGTGGACCTTTAGCGAGTGGCTACTGTCCTGAGCAAAATGCCAACGTCACATCCGAAGCCATGCTTCTGAAACTCAGGAAAGTGAGCTTTCAAGGCATAACAGGGCAAGTGCAGTTCACCGAAAGTGGTGATCCCACTTTTTCGTTGTACGATATCGTGAACTTTCAGAAACAGGCGGAGAATTATGAAAATGTGAAGGTGGGGACATGGACAGGGGGAACTCGTATTAACCTCACAATCAATGACAAACGAATACAATGGGCTAATGAAGAAAGTGAGCCTCCCATATCCACGTGCAGTCACCGTTGTCCTCCGGGAACCAAGAAGACGATCACTGTGTCCTGTTGCTGGGAATGCATTAAGTGTCCCGTGGGCTCCATAAGTAAACAGCACAGCTCTCCCAACTGTACGAAGTGTCCAAAACTACATAAATCAAACGCCGGCGGTACAGCATGCCTGCCTTTGCCAGTTATCAACATCAAGTGGTTAGATGGTACTGCAGTGGTACTATTGATCCTAACGGTTATTGGATTGCTTGTAACAAGCGTGACTTTCTTTGTTTTTATAAAGAACCAGAGTACACCATTGGTGAGGGTATCCAATCGCGAACTTAGCCTTCTTTTGCTTGTCGCAATCGCGTTGTGTTTTGTTCTCACCTTGCTCCATCTTGCTCAGCCCACAAAGACGTTATGTTGTATTATTTATCCCCTAAGGTACTTTATTAATACGACCTTTGTTTCCATCCTCTTCTTGAAGACAAACCGTTTGGTCCGCGCTTTTCAGACCGACATTATTCCAAACTGGTTCAAGCGATATATCTTGGATCGCAAACGTCAATTTCTTGTGGTCCTGGGACTCAACATAGTTGAAGTTATTCTGGCAGTGTTGTGGCTAACTCTTGATCCACCTTACGAGCACCAGGAGATACGAGTTCAGACACACGTGTTTTACACCTGTATACCATTCAGATCAGCCGTCGGAAGGATCCTTAGAGCAACCATGTTTAGCTATTTCATATTCCTGTCTCTTGTATGCGCTGGTTACGCCTTTAAAGCCAGGCGACTTCCAGAGAACTTCAACGAAACGAGATACATCGGGTTGGCGTTGTACGTGCTCCTGATTTCCTGGATGTCATTTTATCCGGTGGACACGTCCCTGGAGGGTTTTTACAAAACCATCGTGGCCTGTGCCACTGCCCTCGTCACCGCATACGGAATTCTTTTGTGTGTTTTCGCGCCAAAACTATTTGTCATCCTGCTTCATCCAGAGCAAAACACAAACGAGTTTATGAAAGCTGAAATTGGGCAGTTCACAAGGAGTTCTACGTTTTCAGCAAGAGTCCAACACGCGAAGGTTCAGCCCTCGAACGAGATTAGCTAGACAGCACATCGTAAACTAAACAGTTACCAGATCAGAACTACATAAATTTCGTTACTTCACTTTATACTGAGAGGCGCAAACAAGTTGCAGTGACTTCGAGGTTGAAAATACTACTCCTCATGGGAAACACTCTTTCAAATTTCTGGGACCCAAATTGTGGAATGTCAATGTGAAATGAGGACTTGAAGAAGCTGTGTCATGAAATTCATGACAATTCAAACAGTGAGACTGACTACTACTAAACTGAGTGAAACATAAAAATATCCGCTCAAAACTTAAACAGAAGGTATAACTAACACAGTAAATACCAAAGGTCAAGCATGGATGGACAAACTTTTGCTTATGCTTTTTGGAAACTGGTTGACCTAAAAGTTCATTTTTGATTTTCTTGTAACGTTTGAGATAGTGCCTTAGGAGACATATCTGTCTGACACGATGTTGTCGTTTTGCCATTTACAACGGTAATTTATCAAGTTTCATTACTAGCAAATAAGGATGCACAATTGCCATTATTATTACCACGAGCTTGGTCTACTTTAGAAATACATAGCGAAATTTATTGAAACGTTTTGTAAGTTAATTAATCTAATTATTCGTCTCAAATTTATACTTAATTGTACTTTAGTTTTAAATTTTGATGAGAATAAACAATTTTCTTTTTTTTTCTCGCAAACAGGTGATTCTACTCTTTAATCCTAGTTTAAAAAAATGTTTTTTCCTGGATCGAGTATATCAGCTACCAACATCAGGTCTCCAAGTTTAGAAAACTGATGGTAGCAGCTAATCAAACGGAGATAGCCACACCAAACACAAAAATAGAATAGGAGCGCCAGACCAAATAGTTGTAAACCCTTTCTATTCTCACATGGACTCCATATTTCGGGATGAGAGTGACACCAGCAAGCATTTCCAAATGTACCTGGGTCTCAGGTGAACGTACGAACTTGTTCTTCATCAAGAATTTCAGCAAAGCAATCTTGATCTCCACGGAGCGAATCTCAACCCAATGCAGGACTTGGCCCTAAACCTGATATGAGTGACGAGTGTCTTTGGCGGGCTTCGGAATCGAATCTCTCGGGATCAAATTTTTCTGGGTCGGGCCAGACACCAAGGCATGGTCACTATGTAGAAAATACACAGGAATAATGACTTGTAGTCCTGCAAGGATATAAATGTCAATAAACTTGTAGTCGTCGACACATTAGATTAGAACTTTAATAGAATCATCCTCAAAAGGTTTTTCAGACACTATTTACGGTTAACCTGAGCCAAAGGTGGATTTGGTCGCAGTGACTCGTTTATAACACAATCCAGATACTCAATGTCATGAGAAAGGTCTTACAGAGAGCTTTCAGGGTTTCTCTTGACTGCTTCCTTGATCTCCTCTCTTAATTTGTCCTGTACATTCTGGTTCAGGGCCAGCTGGTTGGTCATGATATAGGCCATATTGCTCAAAGTTTCGTAACCCGCGATGAAGATCTGACACTGGCTAATTATATCTTCATCGGTGAGTTTGGATAATCTCTTTTCAGTTGAATCCTCGTTGGCTGTCAGCATCAAATGCATCAAATCGTGTCTTCCCCCAAGAAGATCTAAGATCTCTGAGGCACACTTTTCGAAGTAGCTTGGAGAGCGCATGATTTGTGCCAGAATCCTTAAAAGACATATTCCAAAAGGAAACCGTCTCAAGATGTCCATTATCCAAAGAGTGCAGAAAACCTCCTTCACTTTTTTAAATAACGGGCTTTATTTGTCGTTTTGATTGCCAGTTTCGACACCAAACGCGGAGAGTATAACTTCCAGCGTTAAAATGACTGCTCGAAAGTATTTATTAGAATGATCTGCAGCTAGCCACTTAACAGATAGATAAGAGCCAACACCAAGTTGAGTTGGGTCAACTAAGTCGACTGACAAAATTACATTTCTTTGATGCAGAGTTTTTTTTTGCGCTATGGAAGGTTTATATTGAAGCGGTTACTTAACATACGAAAACTCATCTCATGCCAACCTATAATTTCTTAAACATTTTCAGACGACTTGGGCCCCCTGCGCTCCTGTGCTAAAAATTTTTATGAACCATAGAGGAAATAGTAAGGGGGAGAGAGAAGATTTTTAAATGCGCTTAATTTAAAAATTAAGCGCATTTTACGAGGAAGTATCCCTTGCTAGCGTTTTCACTAAATTTAAACATTTTCTATCCTCTCCAACTAAATTGAAATCAAACAGATTTCTCACAATTTTATTGAAAATTAAACTTGAAGCATGGACGGCATTCTATTCGTTCGAAGTCTCATGACTTACGAACTTGCCTTTAACTGGATGTAAATGGAACAATACAGAAAACAGGCAATTTAGAACAAGTTCAGTTCAAATAATAACCCCACTTACCCGTATTGACAACGCCTTCAATAAATTTCTGCATCAATCTCTCAAACGAATCATCGATCAGGGATACTAACCCTTTCATTTTTTTGCGCCGAACGACGGAGTAAGCGTGGCGCGGATGCGCCTCCAAGCTTCGTCCCGTTCAAGAAAAACGCTTGTGGCAATTGATGTCCCTTTAGGCTTAACTAAACAATATCACAACAACAGAAAATCTAGAATATCTAGCGTAATTGAACAATAACACAACAACTCCAGCTGTTATGAAGGCAGTGGGCAAAGGTTTTACTAAACATGCGTTAGAATCTACATCAAGGCCATCCATTGTCCTCTATCAAGATAAAGAGAAAAGTGTGATACAATAAAAACCCGCGACTAAAAACTTACATTTTCCCAAGTTACCTTAAACAAGTGCTTACATAAATGGTATTACGCACAAATTTAAACTATTAAGGTTTTTAAATAAGTTCTTATTTTCTGAAGAAAAAAACACAGTGTAGCTAAAGGTAGCCTGTGTACAGAATCCCCTCCCCTCAAAAAACTTGGGGGGAGAGAGGTCTCAGTGAGTCGCCGTCGTTAATCGTGTTCCGGGATACATTCGCACAAATTGTTTTTTGTTGTTTTTCCTCTGACAGTTGAATAGGTATTGACATACCAACACGACTCTGGACTCTTGTACAGCACGTACGCGGTAATTCCTTTGGACGTTCTCAACCTTTGTAGCTAGCTAGGATCTAACTAGAATATCTACCCAAAATGTCATTTATAACGGGTACATTATGCTTTGGAGGACTCTAACACGTACATTTTTATCCGCCTTTTTTTACTCATAGAGCCGGTCTTTTTCCTGTGCATAGATTTCCTGTGGTTTTTGGTTTAACAGAATTTTGATCACGGAAGCACTGTTTACATTTCCAATAAAGCGTTTTATGCAGGAGTTGATCTCTTCGATTTCGAGCAGGTTTCACGTTAAGGATCGTTCACTTCTGTTCAGCAGGAAATTATAGCTCTACTTTTGTCTGATCAGTTTTACGAGTCTGGGGTCTGTACACAATTTAACCGAAAAACTTCCACGCAATTTCCACGCTGAAATCCAGATATAAGATCTCTCATTAAGCGTTGAATTCTGTACGTCCTTCTCCTTTATTTACAATAGCCACCGGCAGAGAACAGATGCACCCGCAACCGGTGCAGCAAACATCGGTGGTCTTACTACACACGCCTATTTTTGGAGAGCCGAAATACAACTAAACGTATATAAATGTGGTAGGCAACACCGAAAATTACTTGCGTCATGGCATTAACATCCAGTCAGAGGCTTTCCCCCATATTACGGGGAAACGGGAACACGATTAACGGCGAATTTGTAAGGGAACAGCTTATTCTCGGTTTTAACATGATGTCACCAAAATTCTAACTAAGGATTATCGATTCTTCTGAGCTTCTACTTTCATAAGGTATTGCAGTAGTTAAAGACCTTTAATTACACAAATCTTTGGTTCGAAAGGGTTCTTTGTTTTGCAATAGAGGACGCTTGAATTTTCAGGCTTTTGCGTGACGCGGCATTTAGCTGGCGGCCGGAAAAGCTCTTATGTAGGTTAAAAGCGCTACCGATTTTTTTAACTTCTTGCATCTCTCAGAATAAAGATCACTTTAACCTTTTTGGGTTCTTCAGAGGATGTATTCACGCCGGTAGGAAAACTCAAAGACAGATTCGGTGTCTGTTGCTTTCTGTTCGCCATATTTGAGCGCCAAAATGACAACAGCATTGCGTCTCCATACAAAGCTTTGTAAATTTGGGTAAAACATTTTCCCGAATATCACGAATATGGAATATGTAGTTCCAGAAAATATCCATACCCCGAGTCCCTGGAATTTCCGTAATTTTCTAACTTGGTTAGGCAACCCCTGGAAACTGACAGTTACGTCAAAAATCCTGTTGCCCTATATACTATTATGCGAAAGTTAATTGTCTGCGATAAAGAGGCAGAAAAAATTATTTTTTTCATGTTAGTACACTCTCAATATTGCCTTTTAAAGGTCTTCTTCAATTAGGTATGCTTAACGTTATTTCCATTATCTAAGATTAAAACCAAATCGTTTTTAAGAATTATCCTTGAGTCTACTTAAGCAGTAGAAAACGTTTTCTGTGTTTGCATAGACTGATATAAACGCGAGAGGGGTTGGGAGAATTCGAGACAGTTGTGCAATCCCGAGACGAAGTCGAGGGTTTTCATAAAAACCAATGAGAGCTCGCGTACTACATTTCGTTATTTTATAAACAGTGGCCTGTTACTTCTCTGGTGTTTTGCCGTGAGAAGAAACGAGCTGAGTGCAGATATTTTTTCTACCTCGACAACAGGTCCAGAGAGAACCGAGAGTCCAACCTGTGAAAAACTATGAAAATTATATGTAAAAAGGGAAATGTTTGAAATTATAGCGGAGCATCCGCCCAAGCTTTCGCGGCGGAGCCCCATTGCTGAGAGAAATTGGAAACCTACAAGAGAGAATGATCTAAGAGAGCGAATCCCCCATACATGACCCTCTTCCCATGAAAATTATTTTCAATGTATTCTTGGTTCTGTGTCATACTGCGTGGTTATTTTAAGGACGCCACCTTATTGGTCGGTTAGAGTGGCGTCATGTAATTTTAAACTTGGCGGGTAATTCATTACACTGCCGATCAAGCACAGCAAGCGACATGACATGCAAACTTGGTATTATATTCGCCGACGAGTCATAAAATTTCTACGTAGAAAAATCTGACTAGAGTAGCTGCCGAAGAGCAAATTAAAACGGTCCTGGCTTGTGGACATAGCTACAACGACAAACTTTGACAGCGCGCGCGTTTTTAGTTCATTCAACTGATTGGTTGACACAGACTACCACCTTTGTCAAATTCAAACTTTTTCAAGACCAGCGCTTTCAAAATCATTCAGCTATTTCTTTTGAGCGAATATTATTTAAATAAAGTTACAGTCGACCGGCTCATTTTCTTTGCGAAAATCTGTGAATTTATTTTCGCTTGTATAGAACACAACTTTCCCAATCTGCGGAAAAATCTGAGAAAACAACATTCAAACATGCTCTCCGCTTACTTCAAGAAGCATAATACGAATAGAATAGACTGAGACGGCAATTTTTGATAAAATGTATAAGGTTCTATCGTCCAAGAAACGGGAAAATAAGGTAAAATGTGCAGTTTTGGGATCAAACTATTTTTTTCAAAATTGTGATTGCGTGATCAGCTTGTGCAACCACAAAAACTTTATGGAAACAGAGCGCACAAAGGAAGAAACGACTTTTATACAAAACAAATTTTAACTTCTAAAATGTTAACTAGATATTGACTGTTGGATTATGATGTTTCTTCGAATAATTTTAGTTTTGCCTCCTAAAATTTACATTTCAATCTGCTGTTCTGTGCATTGAACAATATTTTTTTTTTGCTGTTATTCAAAACCCAATAATACACTGTGCAATAATATAATACGGTGATCAATTCGAAACTTAAATGGTGCGCCACCTTTAAGATTCCCCCCACCCCACCCCACAAAGGGGGCTGTTAAAGTTTTGCATGTAAAGCTCCACTTTCAGTTTCGGTATAAGAGGGTCTCAATGGGGTTAACCGATAGGCGTAAAACGGCCAAAAATTTAGCCGATAGCCGTAAAAATTGAAACATTTTAACCGTTAGCCGTAAATAGGGTAAAAAAGAGTTAACCGTAAAAGAAAGTGTTCCTTAGATTTGCTACTTTTAAGGAAGGTACTAAACTCACCTATGGTTGTGTTTTTTATTTCCCGGCTAGTGTGACTCCGTACGCACGTTAGGCGAAGCGCCTTTTAGGTGTTAACCAAGACCTAGGCTCCATTTCCGGCGCTCTATCGGGGAACTAATTTTTTCCATAGCGAAAGTGTGGCTTCTTACTGGGGATTAATATCTGCAATTTTCGGGAGGTCGTGCCCTCGAAACACTAGTGAAACAGCACGCAGCGATGTCACTGTTTGTAAAACACGTTGCCGATAAACAACACTTCCCTGTTTTTCTCCGCTGACGCTACGGTAGACATTGCTATGCCTAGTCCCTGTACGGCGTCTTCCCACGCAGTCTCGGTCAAGGCATTTCGGTGGCGAACTCGCTCGGACCACGTGACCCGAAACGCATTAGCCGCGCGGAATAATGCGGCCTACGAACAAGGCAACGGCAGACAGTCGTTCCGTACAGTCCTTCGCTATCATTAAAAACACTGGACAAGAGAATTTTGTTTTTGGCCGTTTTCACACTAGAGCTAGAAATGGATCATCCGTCCGAGACTAGCCTGTGTACAGTCGAGCCCTCCCCACAGACACCCCTTCTCCGATTTTTTTCTGAGGGGAGGGGGCGGCTGTACCAAGGCTACCTGGAACGGATAATCCCGTCTTCAAACGTCAGGCGGATTGTTCACTCAAAATTAAAACTATTCCATTTTCAAATTAAGACGTATTACCTATATCTGACGCGAATCATCAAACGGATAACCCGTCTCACACGAATAATCCTTCTCTAGTGTGAAAACGGCCATTTCTGTTATAATGAATGTCGCCCCGGCCTTGAGTTGGGCGTTTGCTTGTCTGCTTTTGCTTTTTCACAAAGATTATTTTTAAATTGACTATTGACATTTCTATGTGTAAAATAATATTAGAAGTGGATTACTTTATAAAAAGTATGATCGATCCAATGTGAAAATTTTTCAAAAGAATGGCTTATTTTATCCCGAGATGATCCGAAGACCTTTATTTTGATTTAAAAATACAAAAAATACAGGTTAATTAATATTTAACTTTTTGAAAGAAAAAGTTAATTTTAAGTCTTTCGTTAACCGTAACTGAAAAAAAAATAACCGATAGCCGTAAAAGAGCCAAGATTTTAGCCGATAACCGTAAATGCCACCACCCCATTGGGACCCTCGTATAACAGAAGACTTTGAGCACGATGGCCAAATGTATCAAAAAACTGAAACCCTTACTCAGAAGGTAAATTTGAATATTTCTTTGTCATGGCTCCAAGTTAATGAGTTTAAAGTTCATTGCTTTAGACGTATACAAACGGATGCTTCGCCTTTAGCCCTGGATAAATCTATATATTACACCTGTAGTCGCACCACGAAAAAGAAAATGGATTCAAGGTCCTGAAACATAACTCCCTTGCTCCCCGTGCACCTAACATTGCCTTGCGCTCCGATCTCTCATCTTCCTGATCTTCCTTTTAATTTATTCGTCAGAACAAATTAGCCTTGGTAATCGCTCTCGATTCACAAACCGGCATGTTTAAAATCGTGTCTACATAATCCACCATCAACTAGCAGTTCTTCTTGTTTCCTGCAGAAAATTACTTTCTGACCATGTCGCATGATACAAGATCATCACACGTTAAAGAGAAGTCAAATAGAAATTTTGAGAACAGAAAGTGAACGAGGAAATGAAGTGATTTATATTATACTGTGCTTGGCTTCAATTATTGCAGGGAACCTGGTCCCCTTAGCTTGTTATTAAAAATAGTTTGTGGACATAAGCATGGGTTTACCGGCGTGATGCACCACGCGGGATGTTGGGAGAACACGAGAAAAGCTTGTCTTGAAATCACGAACCGAAGCTTTAAGCAAATAAGTTTAAAGTTTATTGCTTTTATCAGAAGTGTATAAACAAAAGCTTCGCCTTTAGCCCTAGGGTAGGAATGGTTAATTACAACTAAGTTTGAATCATGTGTAAATGTTTGTTTTGCCTTACGAATTTTTTCCGTGGCCGGAAAGCAGAGAATTTGTAATATCTTAAAAAGATATTAACAGGTGAAAATTGTCGCGTGACCTATCTTGCTTAATTACTTGTTAAATAAAAACGTGAGTAAACCATTCCGGCCAGATTCCAGCGAGAAATGATGATAAAATAACAAAAATACTGTTAGTTTTTAATAACAATGTGGCATCTCGCCACCTTATTTTTACTTTCCTTTTCTTTCCTGGACTCGACCATAAGTGGACACGTGACACAGATATCTGATTTCCGGCTTACGTTACAGCAAAAGTAAGGTTACCGATTTTTCCGAGGTTGCCAAATTTTAGAAGGTTGTGATAAATTTTCACAAAGTTATGATCATTACAAGATTTTATCCAAATTAGCCTCAGGCCATACCTTAACATGCTTGAGCACCCCACAAAGGGGGCTGTTAAAGTTTTGCATGTATTAAAGCTCCACTTTCAGTTTGGGTGTAACAAAAGACTTTGAGCTCGATGCCGGAGAGTATTTATTCATTTCAGACGTGTTTCAACGGGAAAACTGAAACCCTTACTCAAAAGGTAAATCAAAGCCTCCAAATGTTAAGTAGGGATTTGAATATTTCTTTGTCATGGCTTTAAGATAATAAGTTAAAAGTTTATTGCTTAATTAGAGGCATATAAACTTAACGGATGCTTTGCCTTTAGCCCTGGCTAAATCTGTATATTACACCTGTCGTCGCACCACGACTGAAAAAGAAAATGGATTCAAGGTCACTACTGAAGCATAACTCCCTTGCTCCCTGTGTACATATCATTCCCCGCGCTCCGATCTCTCATCTTCCTGTCACAACAAATTAGTCTTGCTAATCGTTCTCGATTCACAAACTGGCATGTTTAAAATCGTATCTACATTATCCACCGTCAACTAGCAGTTCTTGCTGTTTCCTGCAGTAAATTACTTTCTGCCCCTGTAGCATGATATGAGATCATC